CTTTCTATTATTCTAGTTTTATCCCTCACACATCACAGTTTTAATATTGATATTTGCAGCTTTATAAAGATTGGGATTAATTCCTTTTTCATTATATTTTAAAATTTTTCCATTATCATGTATTCTTCTAGATTTGCTTTAGAATTATTATATGGAGTATCACTACCTGAACCACAATTGGTACAAACTGAATTTAAAGAACCACCAATCCATTAGTGAAATAGCAACTAATCTATCCACTTTACTAAACATTAAAAGTTGAGTCCTTTGTATTAAAATTTATCTATTTACATGTCTCTTAGGTCCTTAGACGGTGCTCCCATGGAGTAGATAGTGTCCGATGTCCTTTGTATCCAAATCTGGAAGAAGCTCAATAAATTACTTACTAGTTTTAGTTGTTCAAACAACAAAAAAACATGCCTTCAGAAATACCCACCATAGAGATTATGAATGTGTTGCTAAATGGATTTGGAAATTTCCAAGTTCAACCAAGGTATGAATTACAACTATTCAATTTGCCATTAACCAAAAGGTCTGCAAACCTTCTACTCAAGCGCTCCAAACGAGGATCTAACAGGACTCAAGAATTCTAATGAATTCAGTTACAATTCAAGAATGGTGGCTGCAGCAAAAATAGCCATGAAGTTTTCCCTCCCCTGAGAGCAAGGGAGACAAAGGGAGCAGCCAGCAGGCAGAGAAGCAGCACAGCCGGCCCTGAGAGAGTTAATCATGTTGTGATGTAAATAGAAGTGAGTTTTCTTTCTCCTTCTCCTGAGAGCAAGGGGAAAAAAGGGAGCATCGAGCAGGCAAAAGGAGCAGCACAGCCGGCCCTGAGTTAATCACTCCTTGTTTAACTGTCACTAATTTGTAGTAAGTGGATTTGTACTTTACAAAGCGAACCTCACTCCCTGACACTACGTAATTTACATTCGGCCCCCATCACCCCTGACTCTGTGTGTTACATACCCCACCTCTCACTCCTGGCACTTACATTCTACACGCCCCTTGTAACAAATCACCCCCTATAGTTTTTGAATTTCAGAGACAAGGTCACAGGCCGATAAACCAGAGGCAAATGGACGCAGTTCAGACTGCCGGACCCAAATTACCAGGCAGCCTGACGCCTGTTTTGAAATAATGCAAAGGAAAGGAAGCATGCAAGACCTTCACTACTTTGATCCTTAACCACGCTGGGCTGTGAGCCCCACATCTAAAATCTCCCGATTCCCAAGGAGGGGGGGGCACAGTTGAGGCGCTAGCTTGCTGTGTCTTCCTTTCTGCCTAGCAGAAAAATAAAGCCATCTCTCTCTTCCTCCAAAATCCCCGTCTCCGTATTTCTGTTCGGCCTCAGTGCACAGGGAAGCCGATTTTTCAGCAACATGGTGAAGCAGGTTTCAGGCGTAGTTTATACTATCCCTTAAACATGTATGAGTTTTAACTCCCTTTGCTGTGAAACCATGATTATTTGGCAACTTCTGATAGTCTGGGTCAAGGGTTGGCAAACTTTCTTAAACAGAGAGTAAATATTCTAGGCTTGCAGGCTATTTGGTCTCTGTCACAGCCAATCATTTCTGCTCTTGTAGCACAAAACAACCAGAGCTACTGCATAAACATGGGAATGGCAGAGTTCCAAGAAAATGTTATCTGCAAAAACAGGTGGCCAGCCTGAGGGCTGCAGTTTGCCAACCTCTTGTCTAGTTGGGGAACCACATTACTTTCGTTTTAAAGAGAACTTGGGTTGATCAGCAATATTCTAGTCTTCTAGTCTTCTGAGTAGTTTGTACTTACTGCCAAGTAATACATGGAACAGAATGTCAATTACCCAACTGCTAATGTGATCAGTGAACCAGTCAATTCAGTGTGAGTGGACAGAAATCAACGTTCTGGATTTTGATCCTCATGGTAGCCTACGAGAGGCCCAAGGGAGAGCCACTATACCTCCCTATCTATGAGATCCTTATGGGTACAGCTAAGCAGACATAAGAATAAGACATAAGAATGAGCTCTCAGAACCCAGAAGTCATATTTGTACCACTAAAAAAATGGCACAGTTTGGAATAAAAATTGAGGCAATGTCAGTCAGTACAAAAACTTCCTGACAATCAGTAAAATACTCTTAAGGGTGGTGACAAAAATTCAATGACATGTTTGGAGAAGAAAGATATCAAGTATAAGAAGTGGCAAACCAAATTCTGGCCTAAAAAAGGCCTTAATACTAATTCTAGAAACTAATGGTTAAATTAAAAGGGTGAAACAAAACATGAGGGCATTAGTGTAACTAGCCCCTCAGTTTAGTGTAAGGTATGGAAGGTACCAATAGTAACAAGAGAATAACTGCAAGCTAACTCCCAAATTGCAGTTAAGAATCAATTAGATCAGCCATCTGCAGAAATGATACAAACGAAGAAAGGTTTGGTATCCGTTTTAGAAATACCCCACATCTAACCTAGGTGATCTAGACAGTGAGTGGGACATAGTTCTTTAACAAATCAATGGTAGAGCCTGATAAATGGCCTGATTAGGTGAGAGCCCTGATATGGTTAAGAGCACAGCTTCCATTTACTTGCTACAGAACACTTACTACATGCCAGAAGCTTTATACACACTATTTCATTTAATCCTCACAAGAGTCATGTGAAGGATTATTTATGTATGAGAAAATTAAAGCTTGGAGATATTAACTTGCCTAAAGTTAATATTAGGGGGCAGAGCTGTGATTCAAACCCAGACCAGAACTCTACAACTGACTGTATTTTTTAAATGGATCATCTGTAGAACTCTATCCTGCATTATATTTATTTTTTACCCTGCATTTTGAAAAGATATATATTTTTTAAGAGTTTTATTTATTTATTTATTTATTTTTAACATCTTTATTGGGGTATAATTGCTTTACAAGAAAAGATATATTTTTAAAAAATGTTCCATGGGCACATCAGTCGGGAAATTCTGAGTGTTTACTGTACTTCGAGACTTCTCTGAGCCTCTACTATAAAGACCAGGGAAAAATAACAACTGGATTGACCAGCCTTTCTAGGCCATCTCTCTATTTGTCCTTCCTCTTTCGAACTGTATAAAGTAAATAATTAATAGAAAATAATATTTCCAGGATGTGGACTACATATGGTAGGAGCATGTAATTAGGGTGCTCAACAATGCCTAGATTTGAGACTCAGCATTTTAAAATGAATATTTATATGGAAAAACAAAATTAAACATAGGGTTTTTTAAAAAAAAAATTAAAGAAATGCATTAGGTAATAGTTACAGTAAAGGATACCCTCTAAGAATAGGAGTAAAAGCTGTTTGGCTTCCCTTGGTACCACCAACTCATAGAAAATCTTAGCTGTAAACAAGTAGATCTTAGTTGTAAACAAGTTGTATAATGATGCAATCTCTGACATAATTAAAACTGGGTAAACCATAATAGGTGTGTTCCTTGAATAGTTTGCCAAGTATTTGTCCAGGTCTATTATAGCTACTGAGCAAATGGGTTGGCATGAATAGTTATGTCCTTAATGTGTACATCATTAAGAGGTCGATATGTCTTCTCATTTACTGGTAACTTCTCCAATTCATCTAGAGTCTCCAGACCATCTATTACCCTGAAAGAGAAACAATATAATGTTTGAAAATATCCTGAGATTGAAACATAATATCCAAATACCTATAGCAATTACAGTCTCACCATGTCTCATAGTTCTTTGAATTCCCCAGTTGAGTGTACAATAAAATATCGCTTTGATTTTCTGCCATAGGTAGGGGCCAAAATTCAGAAACAAAAATTCATTTTTATGCCTTTAGACAACAATAGCAATGGAAAGGAGTATTCCCACCAAAGTATCTAAACATTGCATTCGGCCTCATTCACATGGAATAGCTACAAATGGGGCCAATATAACCAGTCATAAGGTTTTCTTTGTTATAGGAAAAACCTGGAGAAAGTATGTAAGGATGACACTAGTATTATCAGTACTGCCCTACACTGAAGGTCCTGAAGCGGGTGGCCTCTTTGCACTTTATTGTTTAAATACAGTGTTTTTATTTTTTGCTTCTGGACAACAAAAAACAATATTCAGAATAGGAGAAGAGAAGATCAACAGTTAAGCCACTTCCAGCAAGCCCACTTCATGTTTCTATCAAGAAAAAATATATATATATTGAGAGCTATCCTTCTAATATGTTCTAGAAAGTTAGTCTAAAACATTTGCTAAGAAAAAGTGCAATTCAAATCAATTCCTAAGACATACTATGTACTTTAAAAAAAGATAACAGATTTCCATTTTATTTTACATTTCCACTAAAGTGATACTATAACCAAAGCCTTTGGATTTTACACCCAAATGTAGGACAATTAAGGTCTTGAAATTATAAGTTTTAAATGCTTTCCCATGGGAAGGAAATCCAAAAAAGAGGGGATATAGGTATATGTATAGCTGATTCATTTTGCTGTACAGCAGAAACTAACACAACATTGTAAAGCAACTATACTCCAGTAAAAACTAACTAACTAAAGGCTTTCCTACCTTCTGGGTCAGTAAGAGAGAAAGAGGGTACAAGAAACAGATCTCAGGCAAAAAAGGGCATGTAGAATTGAAGCAAGTAAGCCTAGTTAAGTATCTGGGACATGGGCCCCTTTGAGAACCAGTGGAAAGCTATGTACCCTTTTCCTCAGAAAAATGTACGTGCATATATACAAAACAACTTCAAGGAGGTACTGGACCAAAGATTAAGAATCCTTGTTCTAAACTCTACAGTTTTTTTCCCAATCCAGTAAGATAAGTCCTAGTAATTACTAATCAATAATTCTGAATGGTGGATTAAGGGAGAAAAGAAAAAAAAGGGAGTCTGGTGCTCGCTTCGGCAGCACATATACTAAAATTGGAACGATACAGAGAAGGTTAGCATGGCCCCTGAGCAAGGAAGACACGCAAATTCGTGAAGCCCACAAAAACTACTAAAGGCTATAATATTCCTTCTCATTGACTATTACTAATCTATAAATTAGACATGTATATGGAATAAAAAAGAAAAGCTGTAGACTCTTCTATTTTTAATTAACCTAGCTTGGCATTCAAACTGTTCAATAAAACAAACTCTAAAACTGTGGCTTGGTTTATTAAGCATAGTAAATATTTGTTGACAAACTGACTTCCTGTTGATTTATAAAAGCAATTCCCAGGTAGAGGGCTTGTAATGGATATTCTTGCAGAGACTGCTTAACACTCCCTAGGATCCAATCTCCCCTTCTTATTCACAGAGGCCTGGTTTTATTGCGAGTGGCAATATGTCTGGCTAAGAAACACTGCCTACCCTCCCTTGTAGGTAAGTTCTGGGCTTTCCAGGAGAGCTCTTGAGAAAGGGGCTAACTCAGCTGGCAAGCACCTTTGCCCTTCCTCCTTCTTCCTACTTGGAGTATAACTGTTCTGGCTGGGGCTGTGCTGCCCAAGTTATGGCCATGAAGTGAGCTTCAGAATGATAGCTAAAGACGGTTGAGAAGAAAGACAGAGGCACCTGGAACACTGGTGATATAATAGAACCACTATCACAGTCCATCTTGTTTAAGCAACTGTTTTTCAGATGTGTTAGTTGATGCAAGATGCTATTCTTAATGAAAACAGATACATGCTGTTAACTTGCATAATGATCCTGAAAAAATAGTACTGGCCCTTCTTTTACAAAATAAGAAAACTGAGGCTCAGAGAGGTTGTAAGTTTCCCAAGGTCACAGGGCTGTTACGTGGTGGACTTAAATTTCAGGTACGTTTAGCTCTCATACTGCTCTTTGAGTATTAGTTATGCTATCATCACAGCCACTCATATGCATCCTTTGCATTGAAATTCCAAAGAAAACCATAACCAGAATACTCACTTTCCAAATACTGTGTATTTCATGTCCAGATGTGGCTGCTTCCCATAGGTGATGAAGAACTGAGATCCATTGGTGTTTGGGCCATTATTAGCCATAGATACAACACCTCTAACGTTGTGCTGAAAAAGAAAGACCAAAGTATTAGCTGTTTTTACATAAGTATTCCAAATAAAGGACTGAAACAAGACGTGCACTCTACCTTCCCAGTATTTAAGGGATCAAGAAAACATGTAATCAGCTTCCATTAGGGCTAATCCAAATGTTCAGTTTCTGTATTATCTGTATCTCTGGAAACTTGTATCTAAGTTGTTTATATATATATCAAATCATATTCCCCAATTAATTTCACCTTTGGAGAAGCAGAGCCACAAACACTTTTGGCAATACCAATGTATAATAGAAATAATCCTTACATTTATATTAAGGAACAGTGTGCTGGCATGAAATGATCAGGCAGACAACAAAACCAAAATCCCCATAATCTCTTCACATATACACTGGACTCTGGCTAGTTTCCTTATCTGTAAAACAAGGGAGGTTGGACTAATTCAGTGGTTTATTCATAATTCAAATGCTCACAAGGGTTACCAGATAATAAATTGATAATTGGGCAGAATGTAAACATTAGGGAATGGTGGAGCCTGGCAAAAGGAATAGTGTAGCTCTTGCCTCATGACGTTTACAATCTTTTTAAACCAATGGCCATAGAGAATGCATCTGTGGGTCTTCCATCCATGGGCAGTCAGTTTATAACCCCAGGACTGGATGATCTAAGGAAGGCCTTGTCTAACTCTAATATTCATGATACTATTTGCTATACAAGTGACTGTGTACAGGAATTAAAAGGACTTTACTGATAAGATTGAAGACAGAACTGTCTTACAGGGAGATGCCCAAATATAAAATAAACTAAAAGTAACTCCAATGATTACTCTATCTTTAGCTATTCATCAGGGGACACTAATAAGACAAACTACAGAGATGCAGCTTCATAGAGATATTAATGCTTTACCGTTCGCTAAAAGGTGACTACCAATAACATATGTAGTGTTTGATACATACATAAGAATACATGTACCACTTACAACTTAATAAAATCAGCACCCATTAACCTATTTCCAAGTTTTAAGAATTAAAATTTACCAAACTGTTGCATATGCCTATGTGCTCCTCTCAGCTATTACTTCAGCCTCTCCAAGAGGTAACCAGTGTTCTGATATCTTTACATTCAACACATGCCTATACAATATATTGTTTCCTTTTGCTTGTTTGTGAGCTCTATAAAATAGTATCATACTACTTGTAGTCTTCCGGGAAATGATTTCTACACTTAACATTATGTTTCTTGGGCTTCCCTGGTGGCGCAGTGGTTGAGAGTCCGCCTGCCGATGCAGGGGACACGGGTTTGTGCCCCGGTCCAGAAAGATCCTACATGCCGCGGAGCGGCTGGGCCCATGAGCCATGGCCGCTGAGCCTGCGTGTCCGGAGCCTGCGCTCCGCAACGGAAGAGGCCACAACAGTAAGAGGCCCGCGTACCGCAAAAAAACCCAAAAAAAACCAACAAAAAACATTATGTTTCTAAGATTCATACATGTATACATAGCTGTAGTTCTGATTTCTTTCACTGTATAACATTTTACTTCTGAATATACTACAACTTGTCCATTCAAAGATCAACAGACAGTTTCTAGACTTTTGTTATTACCAATAGTACTCTAGGAACACTCTTGTACATGCTTCCTAGTGCACATGTACATGAATTTCTCTAGGGTAAACATGTGGGAATGGAATTTCTGGGTTAGAGTACGTGAAAATTCAATACGCATCCTCAACTCTGGTATATAAGAAAATAGTTCTTAACCTTGTCTGTCTAGGAATCACCAGGGAACCTTAAAATATAATCAAGGTCCTAATCAGTTCTACTTTTTCTCTGGACTTAGGGAGGTAAGGCCCTAATCTTTTATAGTTTTAAAACTTCCACAGGTGAATCTGTAACAGCAAAGTCTGAAAACCACTGGCATAGGATGACAGATTAGTACCAAGGAAGCAGTCATTCATTAATGCCTAAAAAATCATTTCATTTCCAATTCAGAAAAAGGATGTTTTTTTTTTTTTTTTTCTTTTTTTGCGGTACGCGGGCCTCTCACTGTTGTGGCCTCTCCCGTTGCGGAGCACAGGCTCCGGACACGCAGGCTCAGCGGCCATGGCTCACATGCCCAGCCACTCTGCGGCATATGGGATCTTCCCGGACTGGGGCACGAACCCGTGCCCCCTGCACTGGCAGGCGGACTCTCAACCACTGCGCCACCAGGGAAGCCCAATTATTTTAACCTGTATTATTACAACATATGTATCAAAGTTTCCAAGTGTAAACATAGCATGAAAAAATAGATTTTGAAGTATTTTGGGTTTACCTTAAGATATTCACTGTATTCATCTTCAAATTTCTTGCCCCAGATACTGCTACCTCCTCTTCCAGTACCTATATTACAAGACGAACAAATGAAAAAAAGTATTTAATTAAAGCTAAAAAAGGGTTCATTTTCTAAACATAAGGGCTAGTTTATATAGCATAACCCTTTAAATACAAATAAAATTTGGTATGTCCTCTCTTACTTACCAAAATTGAACTTTAAAAACCATAAAAATAAAATATCTCTACAAAAACCAAAACCCCTCCTTATCAATATTGTTCATACTTCAGGGCTCGGTGCTAGTAGCTTCTGCTTAAAAATTTCTTGCTAAGGTAAGTTATAAAAACCCCACATGCTTTTTTTTCCTATTCTTTGTCTAGTCTCTTCTTCACACTACATACCCTAGGTATATACCCAAGGTATTACTGGAATAACTTACCTGTCGGATCTCCTGTTTGAACCATGAAACCCTTGATATTCCTATGAAATATACAGCCATTGTAGTAATTACTGGCACAAAGAGCCAAGAAATTCTGAAGAGAATAAAAAAAATGATTGAGAAATGATGTAGCAGAAGATAAGAACCATTTAAGATTTAAGAATATTTAAGATAAAGAACCAATGGTAGGGACTTCCCTGGTGGTGCAGTGGTTAAGAATCTGCCTGCCAATGCAGGGGACATAGGTTCGAGCCCTGGTCCAGGAAGATCCCACATGCCGCGGAGCAACTAAGCCTGTGCGCCACAACTACTGAGCCTGCGCCCTGGAGCACGCACACCTAGAGACCATGCTCCACAACGAGAAGCCACTGCAATGAGAAGCCCACTCACCACAACTAGAGAAAGCCTGCGCACATTAAGAAAGACAGAACACATCCAAAGGAAAAAAAAAAGCCAATCGTATTTACTGAAAACACTACAACAACCTATTTAAATGATATCTTTTAGGCATTACTTTGGATAATGTCACTGCCTAAAACTCTTCAATAGCTTCCTTCTGTTCTTGAAATAAAATGCAAAATCCTCAGGAGAGCCTAGCAAGCCCTGCATGACCTAGCCTACTTCTACATCTCATAATGTTAATAACCCCTTCCCTGCTGCTTACTGTGTTAACCCCATCAGGCTTCTGAAAATTCATCCAAAAAACACAGGCGTCCCACCTTAAGGCCTTTGTACCTGCTATTTCTATACCTGGAATGTTCTTTTTATAAGTCCTTCCAGAGAGATGCCTTCATTACCTTTTGCACTCAGTTTTTTTTGCGGTACGTGGGTCTCTCACTGCTGTGGCCTCTCCCGTCGCGGAGCACAGGCTCCGGACGCCCATGGCTCACGGGCCCAGCCGCTCTGCGGCATGTGGGATCTTCCCGGACAGGGGCATCGGCAGGCAGACTCTCAACCACTGCGCCACCAGGGAAGCCCTCACACTCAGTTTTTAAAGCATCACTTTCTTGGCTAGGCTTGCCCTCACCTTCTTTTAAATAAATCCTTTCCCATTATTCTCTATCTCACAACTTTATTTCCTTCAAAGCATTATTACCCTCTAGAATTACTTTTTTTCTAGAATGAATCTTCCCCCCTGCCTACCTTCCCGGGTAGAATATTAGCTCCACAATAGCAAGGCATGTCTCTTGTTCATCACTGTAGTTCTAGTTGCTGGCAAGATAGCCTTCCATAAATAAATTACTCAATGAATGAATATGTATAGCTGACTCTTTTTCCTTCTTGTATTTCTCTCTCTCTTTTTTTTTTTTTGGCTGAGCCACGAAGCTTGCAGGATCTTAGTTCCCTGACCAGGGACTGAACCTGGGCCATGGCAGTGAAAGCACCAAGTCCTAACCACTGCACCGCCAGGGAACTCCCTCTTTTTTCCTTTGTTTAAATGACAAGGATAGAACCTTGTCATTTAAACAAGCGAAATAATGTATGGAACAATTCTCTTACCTAATATCTAATGATTATTTACATTTCTTGAGGAAAATGAGCCAAAAGAAAAAGATACTACCCACTCTATGGTTAGAGAAAAATTCTCTACCCTTTTTTTTTTTTTTTTTGCGGTACGCGGGCCTCCCACTGATGTGGCCTCTCCCATTATGGAGCACAGGCTCCGTATGCACAGGCCCAGTGGCCATGGCTCACGGGCCCAGCCGCTCCGCGGCATGTGGGATCTTCCCGGACCGGGGCACGAACCCGTGTCCTCTGCATAGGCAGGTGGACTCTCAACCACTGCGCCACCAGGGAAGCCCTCTATCCTTTCTTTGATCCAACTTTGACATCAGAAAAAGAAGTGTAAATTAGACCAGAAATTATCATTGTGGGTTTTTCTTGACAATAGTTTTATAGAAACTTTTTTTTTGGATGTTGTTTAAGTTAGATGACTCAATTTCAAAATGGTTATCCTGTTGCATTAACTCATCTTTTATACATACATTACGGTACTCACTTCACATGTTTTGGGTGTCCTCTCACAGAAGACTTCTATTTTAATATCACCTACATCTGTATGCAGTGTCACCGACTAAAAAGGAGAGAGAATGTGAGAATGAATGAGATTTCTTCAGGTGACTTTGTGCACTGTATCATTTCCCTAACTAGATATTAAAGATGACTACCTGAATAAAAACAGAAATAAACACCATTTCAGAGATGATCCACCCACACAGTAGCTCTGAGAGATAAGTTGTATTTCTTCAAAATTTATTTCAGCAGTAGAAAAAAAATTCCAGAAGAGAAATATAAATGTTAAGGTAAAATGATATCTATGCTAAAATATTTGGGAGCAAATATTGTGATGGAAATAATCATTTTAAGTTTGAATTTTTCATCAATAAAAATAAAAACAGTTTTTATGTTAGTATTACTGACTTATGTGGCAATTCACTAAGTCATTAATATATATTGAAAAATAGTAAGAAAACGACTTTTACAAACATAGTTTCCACCATTTCCCTTATGTAATTTAATTGCGAGAGACTTAAAAAACAATTTCTTTCTCCACTAAACACAACAGACATAAAAAGTGTCAGTGTTTTCAGATCGTCAAAGTGCAGAGGTAAGCAGAGTACTTCTTCCTGCTTGCTTTTTGTTTAATCTGTTGTTTTGGTAGCTAGAATATTCCTTCTGTTACCCCATTCCAGAGAGGGTGGAAAACTTCTGAGGCTTCCTTTTAAAATTCTCTTCTTACAATAGTTGTCCACCTTAGATCAAGAGCAAAAGGATCCAATTAAAATGATCACACCTGGCTATGCTCTTTTGCCCCTGCAACACCACCTTTCCATCTCTATCCATCTTGTATCAATCTTTTTCCATAAAAGGTAAATTCTGTGTTTTAAGTGAAAAACATAAAAGAATCTGAAATCACTTTACACTGTATTCTTCTACAGATTATCATTGCTCTGTTTTGTCACTGAAATTTCCATGCAGTTTTATTTCCCTTGACTGAATTTCTAAAAATTACTTATAATGAAAGACATTCATAAGAATTCTGTAAAATTTACCATTTTTCTTCTTGATGCTTTCAGGAAGTACTGTTACTTTCTCAGTTTACTGAGAGAAGTTCAAAAACGAGCCTCTATTTCCAAAAGAAAAAACAATTAAATTCATTTCCCTCTCTTAACTCACACTTGATGAGCACCCATCCTGCCCCAAGTAATAAAAACCCGGTTATGAAAGCGATCAGGCGATACTACTCGTCTCAAGCCCCTCAACTCCCACTTCCACTGCTCACTCTTCACGGGCCGGGTACATTCCCGCCTTGGGGTCTAGGCACTGGGTGTTCCCCTTGCCTGGAACACGTACACTCAGACATCTGTACGGCTATTTTCCTCACCTCCAAGTCTCTTCTCAAAAGTCTGGTCTGGACCTGATAACTCTATTTAAACCTGCCTTAACGATTTCCTTTTCATAGCACTTAGCACTAATATACTCTATGCTTTACTAATTGTCTTATTTCAACAACACCCTCCCCGTACAGAATACTCACTGGAAGCAGTCCAAGAACTAACATACACAGCACTCTGCGAGCATTTGAGTTAAGTGAATGAAAGAATAAGTGACGTTACCCCATACTTACTTAACCACTTCGATTAGCACAGCGGTTGTTAAAAGAGCAAAGGTGCAATCGCAGCTGCTCCCACGGGTCTGTAGATTTAAAATTGTTTCTTCAGGCCACCGGATGTCGAGCAAGGGACCCATTAGAGAGAACGCCCCTCACCTGCTCGCCTCCTCCCTCCGCCCCCTCCTCCCTGTCTCAAACCAAACAACTAGAACTAGGGAGACACCAATTTCTCCCCACCAGGTACACTTTTGACTATGAAAGGGTCAAAATTATCTTTTAATAATTACAATAAGACAAGAAGCGTAACTATGGTCATCCTCTAGAAGTGCCTTGGGCTCAGACGCAAAGCCGGAAGGACCACCTCCGACCGGCTCCCCCGCCCCGCCCACTCTCACGAAGCCAGGAAGTTCCGCGGAGGGCCGGAAGTAGCGTTCGCGGAGTTCCCGGGGCTGGTGAGTCTTGCGGGGGATGAGTTTCAGCGTGGGTAGCTGAAGCCTTGGCGGCGGACTGTGGTTTACGAGCCTGCTGCAGCGAAAGGTGGCAGGGGAGGAGATAGGCGCAGAAAACCGGCTTGCCGCGGGAGAGCATAGCGCTCTAGAGGGCCCGGGGACTTAACTCACGGACTTATGGGCCGTGCCACCTGCGCTCTTCATTGTTCTAGAAAAGGCCTGAAGTGGGACTGAAACAAGAGGGCGCAGTTTGCAGGCTGTAGAGTGGGCCTTGCTAATGAATCTTAATAATAAATAGTGCAGGACTTCCCTGGTGGCGCAGTGGTTGAGAGCCCGCCTGTCGATGCAGGGGACGCGGGTTCGTGCCCCGGTCCGGGAAGATCCCACAAGCCGCGGAGCGGCTCGGCCCGTGAGCCATGGCCGCTGAGCCTGCGCTTCCGGAGCCTGTGCTCCGCAACGGGAGAGGCCACAACAGTGAGAGGCCCGCGTACTGCAAATAATAATAATAATAATAAATAATAATAATAAATAGTGCAGACTCTAGGCTAGGCATTGTTCCCAGCTTCACGGTTAAATCTTGCAACCACGCTGTGAGCTGGGCACTATTATTTGCACCCTTCAGAGGTGGAAACCACAGAGGTAGAGTCCTCAGAGACAGCTGTGGCTTTGGGAGTCAGTCTGGTTTTAGAGTCGGTGCTCTTCCCACCATTCTCTGCCGCCTCCCATTCTCGTTAATTGTGACTTAAAGCTACTCAGGTTCGTAGGAAATGGGGAGTGTTTTGTTACTTACAAGGGCTCCTTCAAATGTAACAGTAGGGAACAGAACCGGCATGGTGGCCCATTAGAGCTTCACCTTAGGGCTTGCGAGATTTAGAAGAGTCTGGAGAGTGGAGTAGTATCAGGACGTGGAATCTGGAGAATGGAAGTGGTATAAGGACCCTTAGAAGATCTTCCAAGACCCCAGGTTCGAGTGGTTCCACCTCACTCCAAACTGTATATTGAATAAGTGCATTAAATATTTCTTTTTTTATTATTTTATTTTTGTCTGCATTGGGTCTTCGTTGCTGCACGCAGGCTTTCTCTACTTGCGGCGAGCGGGGGCTACTCTTGGTTGCGGTGTGCAGGCTTCTTGTGGTGGCTTCTCTTGTTACGGAGCACAGGCTCTAGGCATGCGGGCTTCAGTAGTTGCGGCCCACGGGCTCTAGAGCGAGGGCGCAATAGTTGTGGAGCACGGGCTTAGTTGTTCCACGGCAGGTGGGGTCTTCCCGGACCAGGGCTCGAACCCGTCACCCCTGCATTGGCAGCCTGATTCTTAACCCCTGTGCCACCAGGGAAGTCCCAATATTAAATATTTCTGCATACAAATATTGAAAAAAATTTGCTTTTGAAATTGAGTTATGAGTATTTCATTAAATTTACAATTGACTATGCTTTCTTGTTAATTATTTTGCATACCATGAAATGCTTTTCTTCAAAAACAAGTGTTCATAGATACTACATTTAAGAATGGAGCTGACAGTGTTACGTTTTGTATTGGATATAGATGTCTACAAGGCTTACAGACTGTGTGGGCCCTTACATCTTCACCTCTCCCACCTCTTGATTCTGGCCTTTGTGTGGCAGGTAGCTGTTGGCTCAGGGGCAGCAGCTCCTGCCCTTTCCTGCCTTGACCCTACCCATTCACAGAGTGCCTCACCTGTGCATCCCATGGTTCTGGCTGCTGATAAAACACTTAACTTTTTTTTTTTAACTAATTTTTTTAATTAAATTAATTAATTAATTAATTATTTTATTTATTTTTCGGTACGCGGGCCTCTCACTGTTGTGGCCTCTCCCGTTGCGGAGCACAGGCTCCGGACACGCAGGCTCAGCGGCCATGGCTCACGGGCCCAGCTGCTCCACGGCATGTGGGATCTTCCCGGACTGGGGCACGAACCTGTATCCCCTGCATCGGCAGGCGGACTCTCAACCACTGCGCCACCAGGGAAGACCCTTTATTTATTTTTTATACAGCAGGTTCTTATTAGTTATCTACTTTATACATATCAGTGTATACATGTCAATCCCTATCTCCCAGTTCATCCTACCACCACCCATACCCCGCCACTTTCCCCCCTTGGTGTCCGTACAAAACACTTAACTTTTTAAATATGTTATTGTTACTCTTTTGATAAAGCACTTTTTAATGTCAGTATGTACCACCCTAACTCCAAATTCTGTTATGATGGGGGAAGGGGGACTGTGTCATTCTGAATAGAAAGCATTTAATGCTGGCCTATGTTGGTGATCCTGAGATACAGAAAAGGTAGTCTGTCCTCCAGTAGCTTTAGCGTACTGGGGGAGACAGACAAACAGGAATATAATATTATGAGAATAACAAGTGCAGAAGCAGGTGGGACAGGGAGAGGGAAGACACTGAAAAGGAAGGTTTGTCAAGAAAAGCTTTATTTAGGAAGTCGAAAGGGTCTTGGAAGGAAGGGTAATATTTAGAGAAATGGAGAAGGGTGGTTGAAGCACAGGTGGGGAGAACAAGAACAAGGGTGTGGGCTTCCCTGGTGGCACAGTGGTTGGGGGTCCACCTGCCGATGCAGGGGACACGGGTTCGTGCCCCGGTCCAGGAAGATCTCCCGTGCTGCGGAGTGGCTGGGCCTGTGGCCATGGCCACTGGGCCTGTGCGTCCGGAGCCTGTGCTCCGCAATGGGAGAGGCCACGGCAGTGAGAGGCCCGCGTACCACAAAAAAAAAAAAAGAACAAGGGTGTGTGGGAGGGGGCAGGGAGGAGGGAAGGAACATAACTGTGTGTTGTGCACCAGGTTTGTGCAAGGTGACTTAAACATCTTAATCCATTTACTCCTCCAGACGGCCTGTGAGGTAAGTTATAGTGTCTTCATTTTGTAGATGAGAAAACAAGCTCAGAGAGGTTAAATGACTTACCTATGATACTGTGTGCCAGTAAGTGGCAGAGCCAGTATTTGAAGCCAGGCACGTAGGACTACAGCTCTTTTGCTCGTATGCTTTGCTGTCTCAAATGTCCATTTTCTGTGTTTTGACTTCAGATAGTCAGTTTTACCTGACTTCTGCATGTTGTCATCTCGTGTATGCCTGGTCCCCACGACAGTCCGCCTAATCCGTTCCCTGATCTGCAGTTCTTCCCGTTCCTTCATGGATCTAAAGGCTCTCCTTTCCTCTTTGAATGACTTTGCATCCCTCTCATTTGCTGAGAGTTGGGACAATGTTGGATTACTGGTGGAACCAAGCCCACCACACACTGTAAACACGCTCTTGATTTGACAGAAGAAGTGATGGAGGAGGCACACTGCAGAAAGGCAGATCTCATTCTCTCCTACCATCCGCCCATTTTCCGACCTATGAAGTGCATCACCTGGAAAACCTGGAAAGAGCGCCTGGTGATCCGGGCGCTGGAGAGCAGAGTCGGGATCTACTCTCCTCACACGGCCTATGATGCTGCTCCCCAGGGAGTCAACACCTGGCTGGCTAAAGGGCTTGGTGAGAAGCCTCTTGTTCTTTCAAATTCAGTATTTTCCCTACCAGTGCTTGGAAATTTCAGAGTGTCTTTCCAGTAGTGTTTTAACTGCTTTAGGGATGGGGACCATTATTCTACTTTCATATATTTTAAAATAATCTTGCTGAAATCTGGCAATTAAATTGCATTTGAAAAATGAAATTTTTATCCTTAGTGAATAAGGACAGCATAGGAAATCTTCTTTTTTTTTTTTTTTTTTTTTTT